ATTGGCTATGCCAAGGCCAAAAAAAAATTAAAAAAAAAAAACTCAATAAACTGTACTAAAAAAAGTTTAAAAGTTTCCCTAAAATACAAAAGACCTAATCCTTTCAAATCCGTACACCGACGAGAAATGTACTTAATTCAACTATGCAAAGAACTAACTGATTGAGTCTATCTATCTAACTATTTAATATACGTTTATTTAAAAATCTTGTTTTCTGTTACCTATAAGTCAAAAATGTATTTTGCATTGGGATTTCCATATCCTTTTAAAACTTATTGTAAATAATTAAATCATAGTTGATCCATTCAGTAAAATTATTTATATATGTTTTAAAACAATAATTAATAATTCAGTGATTTCCTTTATGACTAATTGGTTTTAGTCCTTTATAGAAAACTAATTAGATAACAGGATTAATAAGTAGGTAACAAGTTTACTAACAAGTTAAAAAACGCTTAGTATTATGTAATATTTTTTGTTCTAATATCGATTTTTGCTACATTGATAGTTACATTAAGGATGATATAATTAATAAATAAATAAGTTTATAAAGGTAGTTGACTATGTATGCGATGGCAGTTTACCGTTGCCACTATTCATAGCTATAATGGATACGAGTTTCTACTAAAATATAGCGTGTGGGTTTACCTGTATCAAAATATACATATTATATTCAACTAGAAAGCAGTGCTGTGATGGTGATGATTATATTTACAGTCCATCTGTAAATATGAGTTTTGTTATAGAAATCACCTAGCATGGATTTTACGAGGATGTGATTTATTTGATGAGATTCAGTATACTTGGGAATTATAATTCTACTGTATGTCTTTATTAAAGATTTAAAAGTTACGGTGAATATGTATTGTAATTTGTTACTACCATACAAATTTTGGACTCCATTGGTCTCAGTAAATGCTTCTGCGAGCGGGGAAGAATTTTTAGTTCCTAGTCTTTTACAATATGACTTAATGTGTTGATCATGGTTGACTCCCAAGCTTATAGTTTTAACAAATATTTTTGCGATAATAACTGACGGCGTAAATTCAAAGGAAATTCATTACATTCGGCTAGCATTGCATTCACTGGCGAGGATATCATCCCACCGATGCAAGTTCTAAGACATTTACACTAAACTCTATCTATTTTTTTAAGATTGGTATTACTTGAAGATCCGTATAAACAACATCCATAGTCAATGATGGATCGCACATATGCTCTACAGAACATTAAAGCTATACTAGGAGTGGCGCCCCAACTTCGATTTGTTATGCACTTAAGTAAATTAAAGCCTTTTTCGCATTTGCTTATTAGGTAACGTATATGACTAGACAATACATATATATGTATGTGCGTGCATAAGTATATGTGTGCATATGTATATAGTATCCTTATATCTAATATTGTAGCACAACGTATTTATTATATCGTGGCGGAGTGGATCAAGCAACCCAAAGCCATTAAAATAAATAGTTGTACAATGGAACCTCGATTATCGGATAAAGACGGTATCCGTCATACCCTCGGACCAAGGGTATGACGGATAATTGAAAAGATTCCGTATGAGTGAAAATATTGCTCCACAAGAAACACTTTTTCCTCTGTATTTAACAACATTTTTAACAATTAACCTTGACTGCGTCACGTATCCCCAGGGGCATGTGCGTAACTTTTCAAGTGTGCTGTAGCAAAATTGCTCAAAACGCTGCCTCGTGCGGGTAGCGATAAAAATGGTATTTGTATATCGTTTTAAGTGTAACAAATAGCCATCGATAACAAATTTTTAATTCTCGCTACTGATAACCGTAATATGAGACATGCCCCCAGAGACACGTGCCGCCAATAAACAAAAATTTATTATTACCATGCGTCACAGAACCCGAGAGGCATGTGTCATTCTTTTCAACTTGTCGGTGCCTGTCGCTGCATTATATATATATATATATATATATATATATATATATATATATATATATATATATATATATTCAGTTTATTATAGTTCATTAAAGTGTGAGCAGTACTTGTTAAAATGTAGAAAAGGGCAAGATATATGGTGGACATAGTGAAACAAAAGAAGATAGAAGTTGCAAATGAGCAAACAATTAGTGATTGTAAAAACTTTGGAGAGAGTTCTGAAACGAATGCTATGTTAAATGAATTAAATGATAATACAGGGTTCATTGAAAGTTATAAAAATTCTAATAATGGAAATGAACAAGAATTAATACAAACAGAAATAGTAGAACACGAAATGGAGAATGAGCAGGGTGATGAACATGATATGGAGACCGAGCAGATAGCAACTCAATTTTCATCTGATACTGACAGTATCGAAGATCCCTATGACAGTGACGATTCATTACTAGATAAAAGTTATTTACCTAAATCTTCATCATCCTCCGATTTAAATGCGTCTATTGATAGTGATGGCGAAATTATTACTACAACATATGTGCAAGTTCTATCTGATAATAATGAACAGAGTGTTGAGAATAGTGGTAGTGCTGAATGGTGCGATTTAGAAGAAGATGTAGATGGTGACGATTTTGTAGTAAGAAAGAATACATTAGTTGATATTGAACCACGTGCAGTACAGAAACCAATAGATGTTTTTAATCATTTTATAACAGATGAAATATTGGATATCATCGTTAATGAAACCAACAATTATGCTGTTCAACAATTAAGTATGCAACACTCAAGAAAATCCAGGTTAAATTCATGGACAGCCACGAACAAAACTGAAATAAAAGCCTTCCTAGGGGTAATAATCGCAATGGGTCTCACTCAGGTACCACATATAAATTTATATTGGTCTAAAGATGATATTTTTTATAATAAATTTATTGCAAAAGTTTTAAGTCGAGACCGCTTTTTGCTTTTATTGAAACTTCTTCATTTTGAAAATAATGAGACATCTGATACAACTAATAGATTATACAAAATAGAAAATTTAGTTAAAATTTTCAAAGAATAATGGAGCCTGGCAACATTCTCGTTATAGATGAATCTATGGTACCTTTTAGAGGGAGACTCCATTTTCGTCAGTACATCCCTAACAAGACTCATAAATATGGAGTGAAATTGTACAAACTCTGTTCACCTGAACGCTATATTTTCAATATAAATATTTACGCAGGGAAAAATGAACAACAACCAGTTAATGTGGCACACTCTAAAGCAGTTGTTCTAAAATTACTTCAGTGTATCACAAATAAAGCTGGCAAAATATTATTTGCTGATAATTTTTATTCAGGAATTCCTCTTGTTAAAAGATTGTTAGCAGAAAATATGATGTACTGTGGAACTCTGAGAGGAAACAGAAAAGGAATACCACCTATTTTTAACCAGTCCAAAAAGATGAAGCGAAGAGAAGTTATTGGAAAAAAAAAAGATGGACTAAGAATTATTAAGTGGATGGATAAGAAACCTGTGTTAATGATTTCAACTGTACCAGCCCATAGTAAGAAGTTGATTCCAACAGGAAACCAGAATAGGCAAAAAGAGAAAATTGTGAAACCGAAATGTATAATTGATTACAACTCTGCAAAGAAAGGCGTAGACTATTCGGATCAGATGTCATCATATCATACAGTGCTACGTCGAAGCTTGAAATGGTACCGGTAAGAAATAAAATAGGTTTTAATTTTAATATCTCTTTCTTTTAATATTCATTTTTTTAGAAAAGTAGTATTTGAGATGATACTTGGAACAGCTATTGTTAATAGCTTAATTATATTCAATATGTGCTCTAAAACAAAAATGAGCATTACAGAATTTAGACGTCAGTTGGCATATAATTTAGTACAATCACTTGAAGAAAAACCACTTCCAAAAAAAAAGAGTGCATAATTTTACCAAACCTGAAGAACCTGGAAGAAAACGGCGAAAGCCATGTAGAGGTTGTCGTCAAGTATTAAAATCTTCAGGTTTAAGTTACCGTGAAGTAGTTAAAAAAGTTCGTAGGATTATAACTTTTTGTTCCGATTGCCCTGGTCAACCTGGCTACTGTTTGTCTTGTTTTAACAAGGCACATAAATAAATAGAAGAAGCAGAATCTACCAGTTAATTTCAAAATGCGTTTATTCTTTTTATTTTAATATAAAATATTTGGTTTTTACAAACATCTTTTTATCCAATTACCTTCAAGAGAAAATTTATTTCGCTGTCTGTGCTACACGAGACGTTGGCGGCATGTCCTGTTTGAGAGAAAAGTAGATTAATAATTCTATAATAGTTTCATGTATAAAGTATATGCAAAAGTTATACTTTTGTGTACTAGAAGGCATGAAGGACCTATATGCACACACATGCCACATGCGACATGTGACGCATAGACAGAATAAACCATAACCTATCTCCGGGGGCATGTGAAGCAAGAACTAGTATATTAAGTATTTAACCACAGCAGTCAAGGTGTTAATAATGAATTGTTTAAGGGTTACTTGACATGTCTATACTAGTTAATATAAATATGATAGCGCGCACAAATAGACATCTATGTTTCAGTTTCAGTACTGATTATTTTGGACAATACTGTATTTTAACATTATTAAATAAGTTTACCTTTAGTTTTAGCCGAACTGATAGATATTGCAGCTTACGTATACCATTGAATAAAAAATATGATAAGAATTGGCAAAATAATTTCAATACAAAAATTATATAAGACTTTATACCTTAAAAGTATTATTTATCACAATATGTAGAAAATTTTAATTGTATTTATAGCTAAAATTTTGAAATTACCTACTCTTTATATTTTAATAAACAATGCTTAAAATAATGTTATTGTAATTTCCTTATTTTTTTCCAGTAATATTATTAATATGGTTTAATTAAAGTTTAGATGTAGTTTATTTATTTATTAGGAATTGTCTTTAATCTTATGTTACATTTTTCCGTGAGCAGTGTCTGTTAGAAGCAATTATGTAAATTTGAAGGTTACGAGACAGAGGTTGGTAAATCAAGTTTGTGTTTTCCCAAAACAAAATATTCCCGCATTACATTATATATTCTTTTTAATTTTCTTATACTTAGTTATAGTAAAATACATTTTTTAATTCAGTTGTGTTTCAAACTCCGTTTCAAAAGTTGACTAAAAGATAGTGAATTAATTAAACTAATTTAAAAATGAAATATCTTGTATCGTATTTGCTAATTGGTCTGATGTTCTGTGTTAGCTTAAATAAAAGCCAGTTGCCATATCCGCCAGGTGTAAGTATTACTTTGATACAATTTAATTATTTCTTTCAGGGCACATCAAAAGTGCATTCATTAGAAAAGTTAATTACAAATTAGAAATAATAAATTGTATAATTTCAAACAAAACATTCCTTTACTTGTTGTGTTATGAATTTGTTTCACTCTACAATTTACTGTATAAAAACCATAGAGTAATCGGTATATATACTGTAAAATTAGTAGATATCATCTGTCAATAGTTTAGTGTAATTTTCTTAGATCTTCTGGCTACACTATTTTAAGTCTTCGTTCTAATAGTTAGTTGAAGAGAAAGAGTTCTATTATCACATTGTGTTTAAAATGATCTCGAATCAACCGGTCAATGAAATCAACACGAATCTCGGTATTGGTTTGCCTTGAAATTTAGGAGTTTCAGTACATAATATATATATATATATATGTTTAGCTGACGATCTACATTTTGGTTTGAGAAATAGCATGCCTTATATCAGAAATACCTGCAATTTTTTGTTTAATAATCTGATCATTCGTTTTATTTTCAAGTTTTTTTTTTTCATCAAGTAGAATCCTGGGTATTTTGTCTTATTTCTGATGGGCATTACAGTTTGACTGTGTCTCTTATTGTTATAATTGAGGTTTTCTTTGCAAAAACCCCATTTGTCAGTATTTAGAACATTGGAGATATTAAAAAAAAAAGTTATTTAATTGAACCGTATTAAGTTTACGGATTATCACAGAAAAAATAAAAACTAAAATTGGAAAGGCTCGAGCTGCTTTTGTTAATGTGAAGGACGTTCTGGGAAGTCATGACATTAACTTAAAAAACCTAAAAATGAGATTGGTTATATGCTACATCTTTTCGATACTGGTGTACAAAGTAGAGACTTGGACTTTAAACAAGAGCAATATCGATAAACTAAAGGCCTTCGAAATGTGGATATATAGAAGAATTTTGAAAATACCTTGGACAGACAAAATAACAAATAGTGTAGTTCTTCGAAGAATAAAAAAAAACGGGAGCTGTTAATCACCATCAAGAGAAGAAAGTTGGAATATCTTTTGGTGTAGTGTGTAGTTGGTCATGTGATGAGAGGGAGAAAGTACCGATTGCTCCAATTAATATTAATTATCCAAGGAAAGATTCAGAGCAAACGAAGCGTGGGTAGACGACGTATATCTTGGCTGCGCAATTTAAGAGATTGGTTCCAGTGCATATCTAACCAATTATTTAAACCAACAGCTTCAAAGATACGAATAGCAATGATGATTGCCAAACTCCGTAGCTGAGAGGGCACTTGAAGAAAAAGAAGAAGTTTACGGAAATTCTCAAATTAGTGATTTATTATTTTGATGATTACACACAGTTTACAGTATATATGTGTGGTGGATTGAAAAAGTAACAAATATAGAGGTGTTACAAAGAATGAAGAAAGAATGTGAAGTCATAAAAACTGTTAAAATTAGAAAGATTCAATATCTGGGACATTTAATGAGGGGTGAGAAGTACGTATTACTGAGGTTGATTATGCAAGGGAAGATACAAGGGAAGAGAAACCCAGGACGACGCAAAATGTCCTGGCTAAGAAATTTGAGAGAGTGGTTCGGCTGCAGCTCATTAGAATTATTTAGAAATGCGGCCAACAAAGTTAAAATAGCGATGATGATTTCCAACCTCCGCTAGGAGAAGGAACCCGAAGAAGAAGACAGTATATATAACATTATTTTTTTATTTGGTTTTTTTATAAAGGATATTTATTCATTTGACATGAAGATGAAGATGAGATGAAGATCGAACTCTGAACAAGCCAGTACCTTCTTGAATTTTACGAAAGCTTGTCGAGCTTGCTCAATGAGACATTTTACTTCCCTGTCCGATGCCCAGTCTTCAAAAAGCCACGATCCAGGTATTTAAATTTACTCACTCTTTTAATGGACTTAGTATTCAATGTTATGGTGCAGTTTTCAAGTGCATCCAAGTTTCTGGAGATGATCATGAATTTGGTCTTTTTGGTATTAATCTCTAATCCCATTCGCTTACTGTATTCTCCGATTATAGTAACAAGTTGTTGAAGATCGACTATGTTAATTACTATTAAACTGGGAATAAGCCACAATTAAATTTAATTTACAATGCCACAAGAAAATATCGACTATGTTGTCACAAATTAAGACACCATCATCAGTATATCATATGTTGTTGATCAATACTCCATTTACCTTGATTCCCATCTCTGCATCCTCCAAAGACTCTTGAAATATGGCTTCCGAATAAATGTTAAATAAAAGAGGGGAAAGCACACATCCCTGTCGAACGCCTCTTCTTATATGTATGGATTTGGATATAGAATTGTCTATTTTTAACTGTGGCATTTGATGCCAGTACAAGTTTTCAATGCATTTTATGTCTTTTTGGTCTATATAAACTTTCTTGAGAATCTGCATTAACTTGTGGTGTTGGACACGATCAAACGCTTTTTGGTAATCTAAAAAGCATGGGAACACATCCTTCCTCTGATCGTAACAATTTTGGACCAGCACCTGTGTTGCTACTATTGCTTCTCGTGTTCCTAAACCTTGCCTAAATCCGAACTGGGAATCACTGATATCCCATTCACATTTTTTGTATAATCTTTGATGTAGTATTTTTAAGAATGTCTTTAAAGTGTGACTCATCAGGCTAATGAGTCTGTGATCCTCACATCTTTTTGCATTGACTTTCTTGGGCAGGGGAATAAAGGTAGAGCGTAACCACTGTTGTGGATAGCAGCCAGTTTCATAAATTAAATTAAATATTTTGTGTAGTGCTGAAATTCCCCTTTCATCTAGTAATTTGAGTATTTCTGACGGGATTTCATCTGGTCTAGGTGCCTTACTGTTTTTCTATCTCCTCTTTGGTGATTGAGGGGCCAGCTGGTCGTCTGTATAAACTTCACTCATGGGTCTTTCGTCATGGAAGAGCTCCTGGATATAATTTTCCCATATATCAATTTTCTCCTTTTCACCCAGCACTATCTGGTTATCCTGATTAACTATGGTAGTTGGTCTTTGTTTTCTGTATATTCCAGCAGTCTCCTTAAGCTTTTTATGTAAATTACGGTCGTCGTGCTGTCGTTGTAAATGGTCTAGATCGATACATTGTTGCTTAAGCCATTCATTTTTTGCTATTCTTATTTTTGCTTTTAGTTGCCTGGTAATGTTTTCATACATATTGCTGCCATCTTGGTCATTCTTGTGTCTTCGTCGTTTTTCCATTAGTAATAATATTTCTTCTGTCATCCATTTTTGCCTCTTGTTATTTCGTTTGTACCCTAAGTTGTTTTTCATGATATCTGTTACAGCACTTGTAATCTTATTCCATGTTGGTGTTAGATTTTCGGTAATATTTCTCGTCAATATTTGAATTTGTGCGTTTATTTCATTGCTTATTTCTGCTTGTATCATTGGGTCTTTCAGTTTATCCAGTGCTATCTGTTGTTGAGTTTCAGGCTTGTTCTTGCATGAAAGAGCGATCTTTATGACGGCCACTAATAGTACGTGGTCAGAAGGGACATCTATATGCAAGCTCTTTTGACAGTTGTGCTGAATCTACTGTTGATAAGAATAAAGTCTATCTGATTTCTTATTATGTTCTGAGCTCTATCGGCTGGAGATTTCCAAGTATAAAGGCGACGGGGGTGGAGTTTGAACCATGTGTTGGTAACTCTCATGTTTTCTTTTTGACAAAATTGTATAAGTCGGTCATCCCTTTCGTTCCTTGTTCCAAGACCATAGGGTCCAACTACGTCTTCAAAGCTGCCCTTCCCTATTTTGAAATTAAAATCTCTCATAATTATGTTGACATCATGTTTCTTTGTCCATTTAAGTAGTTCTTTAATTTCACTATAAAAGTTTTCCACTACTTCATCTGATGCGTCTGTAGTTGGTGCATAAACCTGTATGAGGTTGAGATTATTTGGCTTCTCTTCAAGTTTTACTAAGGCTGTGCGGTCGGAATATGGTACAAGCTCTGTGACAGCTCTCACCAATCTTTTAGTTATCCTAATCCCGACGCCTTTTCTATGATCGCGGTCATCATTGCCTGAGTAAAAGAATGTTCCGCTTTCTGTAGTGGATTTACCGGATCCAGGCCACCAGGTTTCTGAGATCCCAAGGATATCTAGATCAAATCTAGATATGCCAATGTTTTCGGCTTTCTGTTTTCTTTTGTAGAGTTTCTGTCTGTGTTTTTATAACAAAATCTTTGATTTTGTTCTACGTAATGTTTACATTCTTAGTGTTTTTCATTTATGATATTAATTTCTTTATTTCTTGATTAATACAAGTTGAAGCCTTAGCACGGATTTCATTTATCTTTAGTAACTGAGTACTCACCTGAGAACTTTGGGATTTTATTATCTTTTTTACCCTCCGTTTCATTTTTGGTCAGTAAAGATTAAAGACATTTTATTCAAGACAAGTTAAAAAAGAATAAAAGTATTAGTAATAATACACTTTGTGTTCCCGCTCATACCTCGGGGTATTTACTCCCCGACTGGCAGCCGTAGCTCAGTGGCTATGTTACTGGCTTAACAAACTGGAGGGCCGGCACTGACAAAATTTTCAATTTCTAAATTAACTGAGCTGTCACCGTGCTTTGGAGGGTACGTAAAGCCATCGGTCCCGGCTACGAAAGTAGTCGTTAAGTCATTTTAGAGGTGCTTACGCGACCTAAAAACACTAACACTAGACTTTAGTCAGAAGGTTACACGAACCTTACTTTTTTTTACTCCCCGAAATACTCCTCTGGGTATTTAATATTTACCAGCTCAATTAATCTTACAGCAATCTCCTGATACGTACGAATCGTCTGCTTTGTGATTTAATATTTCTTAAGCCTGCCGGGACCTTAAAGTTATTTTCATATTTCTAAAATTCAAATATCTATTCAATATCTAGTAATCTATTTATTGTTTCAATGCACATCCTATATTATGAGACAGTTTCGACCGGATTTACACAAAGGCAGCCTTAATCACTTTCGCATCTAAGATTGAAACTTAGAAGCGAAAATTAGCGCATCTAATTCCCAAACAAATTCCAAAAACTACAACGTTGAAACCCGTTACAGTGGTTAATTAGTTTTCTGATACTCCTATTTCGACTGTGGTCACTAAACCTTTAGCAAAAGGTTTTAATTACTCTGTTACCCCTATTCACATTCCAATAACGACAATCACCTGGTAAACTGAAAAAGCCATTTCTAGTTACTCTTTCGAAGATGTTGAAATAACTATACAAGACATCGCCAGAGTACTTAGAAACTCAAAGTCTCCTACTTTGAACATTAGCCTATCAGAGAAAAAACCCTGAAAGAATTTCAGTCATATCCAAATCTAGTTATTCTTCCCGCCGATAAAGGAAATGTCACCGCCATCCTAAACACTTTCCTAAATTCTTACAATAATAAACTCTCAAATTTTAATAATACTCTAGAATACAGACCAATTTTTAATAATTTAACAACCTATCTAGAAAAACCAACAAAAGCCATTATCATTAAAATCTATCTTGCTGTTGACATAAAACAATCTCTAATTATTCGTGAAAATTCTTCCAGAACACCTCGAATATACGGCAAATCCAATATTCACAAACTTGATATTCCTCTACGTCCCATTGTCAGTGCATATAACTGCCCTACGTAACCATTGACCAAGTACTTGGCCAAAACTCTACAACCTCTCGCCAAAAATGCTTCATCCTTCGTCAAAAAACCCTTTTATTCTTAAACAATAACCTATCTCACCGTCACTAGATTGTCTGTTCTAGTAAGTTTCGATTTCATTTCACTCTTCACAAACATTCCTATAGACGAAACTCTAATAATTCTGAAAACTAAATACAGTATCCAGCAAGACCACTCACTTATCTGTCATTAAAGATTGTGTGTCCAACAATTGTTTTATCTTCCAAAATCAATTCTAGCGAGAAATAAATGGTGCCCCAATGGGCTTCTCACTATCTCCAGCAATTGCCAATATCTTTATGGAAGACTTCGAGACCCGAGCACTATCCACATTAATGCTCAAACCCACCTATTGGCTACAATATATTAACGATACATTCGTCATTTGGCCTCATGGCAGGGATGCTTTGGTGTGTTTTTAAACCCATCTGAATGGTATACATTCTAGCGTCCCGTTCACGATAGAGGTAGTGCATCTATATTAAACGGTGGCATATGCATACTCTGTTGTTTCCATACAGCTGTTTTAGGAGATAAATCAAACTATACTTACCTGTGATGTTAGCCCTATTATTTTGTAATTACTACAATGCGTTGGGGTTCCTTTTTTCTAAATTGGAATAAATATGGATTTCCATCAATCCAAATGCCATTTTCGCGTATTTCATATATATTCACACATTGTTTGAATACCGTTGGTTCCGACTTCTAATATGCCTTTAACTCTTTCAACTGACATTTGGTCTTCTCCTATGGCAGCTATTACTTCACTTCTATGAATATTTGCTTTTTTTGTACATGCTCTTTGTAAACATCTTAATGCTTTAACTTTCTTTGGCAAATTAGAGGATAAGTTTTTTTATTTTCAAAGTGGGTTTGTCGTGAATCATACCAATTTTATATTTTTGGTATAATTTCGCTTTGATTAATTAGTGTCTGTCAGCCGTATCTACTGCTGTTTATGCAGACTGTAAATGTACCCATACGATGAATGGATTTGATGGGTAGTAGATTCTAATATTCGCTGTACTTATAAGTAAACACGTAAATTTTATTGATTTTTTTTAATTATTGTCTTCTAATGGAGAATAATACTAGATTTATGAAAAATGTATAGAGAATCAATATGATACGTGACGTATCTTAAGTGTTTGAAATCCAGACCCATCAGTAGTGTACCTAAAAGATCAAATTCATTACAAAAACGATATCCGATATACCTTTTATACACTGACATTAACTTTTACTGATTCTAAAATATAAGTAACAATAAAACACTGAAAACTTTGTTTTCAAACTTCCACAAAATTTATTTTAAATATTATCACTACAGCTGTTTCGGCTGATTGCCTTTCTCAAGTGATCTATTTTGGCTTGGGTTTACAAATTTATAGTCTCTAATGAAATAGGTTGAGGAGGGGAGAACTGTTTGTCTCAAGTTGGTCATTCAGAATTATATCTGTGTTTTTTAATTTGTTGATTTCCATAGATTCTAACAAAGATAGCTTAAGGCCTTTATTTTGAATGTGAAGAATTTTAAATTTGTCATTAAAAGAATGATTATGATCTAGAAGGTGAAGTGCGTATGTCGAATCTGTTTTTCTATTCTTGAAAGCCCTTTTATGTTCTGCTATTCGTTTATCAAAGTTTCTACCAGTTTGACCGATGTAAGTTTTTGGGCAGTCGCCACATTCAAGTTTGTACACACCACTATTTAAGTGTTTTTTATTTTGGCTCTTGTTATTTTTAATATATTTGCCTAGGTTGTTATTTGTTCGGAAAGCTGGTGTTATTCCTTTCTTTTTTATGTGTTTGGCAATTTTTGTTGTTATTTTGCCTGTATATGTAATCGAGCAGAAGGTACTGAGTTTTTTCTCTGGTGGTGGAAATACTAATTTCAGGGCTTTCTTGTGTAGTTTTTGATTTAACATTTTATTAATTGTTTGTTCGTTGTATCCGTTGTTTACTGCTATCTGCTTAATTATATTTAATTCTGTCTCAAAGTTGTATTTTGACATCGGAATTTCTGTTAATCTATGTAACATACTATGATAAGCTGCCAGTTTATGTTGTGGTGGATGGGATGACGAATTGTGTATAGTCGTGTCAGTATGGGTAGGTTTATGAAATATGGAGAAGTCATGTTTGTTTTGAAGTCTGCTAATTTTTAAATCTAAAAAATTTATGGATTGATTTTGTTCTGTTTCTATTGTAAATTCAATATGACTATGAAGTGAATTAATATATGATAAAAATTGGTCCAGTTGCCTGTTAGTTCCTGTGAAACATACCAGTACGTCGTCTACGTATCTCCACTAATATAAAAACTGTTTGAATACAGGATGTTTTGAAATCTTTGTCTCTAGATGATCCATAAAAATATTTGATAGCAATGGGCTTAGAGGATTACCCATTATAAGTCCTGCACTGTTATTTGAATAAATTTTATTATTAAATTCAAAGTAGTCCTGGTTTATGCAAACTTCAAGAAGATGTAAAATTTCAGATGTAATTATTGGATTTGTACTATTTTGGTCTAAAAGGTTTTTTACTAGAATAAAAGTTTCTGTAGGAGGGATACTAGGAAATAGATTTTTTACGTCAAATGAAATTAATCTGGAGTTGTTAGGTAATTGAAAATGTTGTATTTTATTAACTAGTTCTATTGTATTTTTTATGGTAAATTTAGGTGAAAATTTATGTGGTCTAAAATAATCTCTAACAGTTTTTTTGAAATTGTTATAGTATGACGGAGCTGTATAAAAAGAAACTACAGGTCTTATTGGATGATCCGGTTTGTGTAGTTTAATGAAAGAATATAATTTAGGAGGCTGTGGGTTCATGATACTGAGGTATTTCTGTTCTATTGGATTTAGTATTGATTTTGAATTTTCTAACGCTAGCTTAATTTGTTTTTGATATTTTTCTGTCGGATCTTTGTGTAAAGTTTCAATATTTTGATTATTTAAGAATTCTATTGTTTTGTTATTATATTCTATTTTATCTATAGCAATAGTAGTATTACCTTTGTCTGCTTTTGTAAACACAATGTTGTTTTCTATTGATTTATTTTAATTGAAATTGCTGTTTTATTCTCTTTGTAACAGGAATACTTAGTGTCACTACACACATCTGAAATTAGTATTTCCACCACCAGAGAAAAAACTCAGTACCTTCTGCTCGATTACATATACAGGCAAAATAACAACAAAAATTGTCAAACACATAAAAAAGAAAGGAATAACACCAGCTTTCCGAACAAATAACAACCTAGGCAAATATATTAAAAATAACAAGAGCCAAAATAAAAAACACTTAAATAGTGGTGTGTACAAACTTGAATATGGCGACTGCCCAAAAACTTACATCGGTCAAACTGGTAGAAACTTTGATAAACGAATAGCAGAACATAAAAGGGCTTTCAAGAAGAGAAAAACAGATTCGACATACGCACTTCACCTTCTAGATCATAATCATTCTTTTAATGACAAATTTAAAATTCTTCACATTCAAAATAAAGGCCTTAAGCTATCTTGTTAGAATCTATGAAAATCAACAAATTAAAAAACACAGATATAATCTGAATGACCAAGTTGAGACAAACAGTTCTCCCCTCCTCAACCTATTTCATTAGAGACTATAAATTTGTAAACCCAAGCCAAAATAGATCACTTGAGAAAGGCAATCAGCCGAAACAGCTGTAGTGATAATATTTAAAATAAATTTGTGGAAGTTTGAAAACAAAGTTTTCAGTGTTTTATTGTTACATAAAATGAATTTCCATCAAGTAACGGTCGAATCCATCAATTATCTAAAATATATGTTATTTCAGATAAACGCCACAGTTTATTACGAAACAGGCTGCCCTTATGACAAAAGTTTTATTGAACAACAGTTAAATCCAATATTAGAGGGAAATTTATCGAACTTTGTTAATTTACAATTATTATCTTTCGACTCAAAGGTAAGTTCTTTTACAAATAAATAATATCTAAAATTATTTAGCAGACTTTTCCACACAAACTACATTTTCATTGATTATAATAAATTTTTATTATATTTTACAATTTCTATTACAGTACATTAGAGATAGATAGGAAACACCACTAATTTATTTTTATATTTATACATACACTCATAGACAAAAATATCAAATATTTATGTTTTGACACCATAACTTAAAATAATTACAAAACATCTTGCTAAATTTGTTATCTACAACGACATAATAGCCCAGTCTAGTTAAAAAAAGGTCGACAACATTTTTCGCAGATATCTGAAGCTTTTACCAGCTATCCAATGGTTGTACGTACAAGTCTGTAGCTTGAAAAATATAGAAGGTATTACAATTGAGGCGTTTATTTTAGAAACAACATAAGTCCAAAATTTTGATTTTGTAGAAAATGAAAAAAAAACGCTCTCTCGAGTTTATTACAATGTTTCGAAAAACTTTTAAATTGTACAGTGACAAATATAAGTTAAATAAAGGTTGTCTGACTATTACTTCTTAGACAAAATCTTATGATATTAATAAAAAAAAACAAAAATCTGGGACTTATGTTGTTTTTAAAAGAAAAAAAAAATAAAATAAAAGTAATGTTATAAACTTAAGTTTTTATTGAATTTTAAGTTACAAAAAATAATTAGGATTCATCACAACCACTACTGTTGTCATCTTCATCGATTTCTAAGGCATCATTGCTCTGCAGATTTTGTCGCGTAAAAATGCTTTAATAAAAGCTTCGATTTTTTGCATTTCCTAAATACGGTAAGAGATCACTTAAATTTTTCAGTTTAGCAGATGAAATTGGCACAGCTTACAAATAACTTGGTGTGAGTTTTATTAAACTAGTTGTTGCTACTTTACTTCTGACAATAAAGAATCTCCATGGACCATTGTAGGTATCCTTCAACTTCACCACATCAGTCTCTGCAGTAATTTCGAACATACGCACTAGTTTTAGAGAAATTGGCAGTTTGGCTGTTTTCAGACAATACTGATCGGTGTGCTGACATTTGGTCTGTGTCGTCGTTCAACTGACAAGTACCACGTGCAGTATTCGAGCTTAAGAGACATGTAGTCCTTAAAGTAAATTTTAATTTAAAACCAATTCCATTGTCATCGACCTAGACTCTCAACATTATTATGTATGTCTGTAGAGATTGAAAACGTTCTGCCATAATTTTAAATGTTGACGACACTTTTTAAAAAGTTTTTAAAGTACTTGTATGTTTTTATAACAAAATACACAATTGTGAAGTGTTTTAACTTCTGTGTTTTTTTAAACGATGGTATACAGCCAATTACGGGGTTTTTCCCATTAATTTTTTTTAGATTCAAAACTTAATTTTTCCTCATAAATCTCTTGGCACCATACCTCGTGTGACCAAATGGTTTTGTATGCGTCCAAATCTACCAACAGTTATACCATGAATGCCCAAAAATGCCTTTTTACAGACATCTATTTCCTGTTCTTTATATTTTATTTTGAATCCATATCCTGCAGCATGTGGTTCTTTAGTACCCGCATTTCTATTTTTCAGGCGGCATCTATTTAGTGGTTTTATAGTTATTAGACCAGACAAGTAAGAGTCTTGCTCATTTTTATTGATCATATTATAAAACTGTTGGAAAAAAACCACTTTTATTTCCCTACTAATATGTTCATCACACTTGAGCCGTTTACATCTATAACAAAAAATATATTGTAAGAAAAATATTCAATATTTACGTTAACCCTTTATAGGTCTGTGGTCGATATTTCGACCACTGCTCTTATTAATACTTATGAACTAGTAATTGAGATGAAAAGTTACCGAAGTGCAAATTCAGTGTTTGTAAATGAATTGTACCCAAAATGAACACCACAGAACAAAATACGGCAACGTGGCAGCAATGTGGTCGATTCGCCAACCACAACCCATCATACTCTGTAAGTTACGGTTGAACGTGATCACAGGTTTTTGCCGTTTGTAAAAGTTTTATTATAAATAATTTACAAAAGATTTATACATCAAACTCAAGGTAACACATCACAGTATTATGGTCTTTTATTATCTATTCAGATTTTATTGGCGCTAAGATGATATATCTTGATTTACTAAACATAACCTCAAAGTAGCACATGCTGATTTTACAATTGCTCTATTGAAATGTATTTTCACTTTTGTTTATTTTAAATCTATACAATTATATTCTTTTTTTACGTAAATCTGACTTACTTGAATAATATTTCCAAGAATTAAATTGCTGTGCGGTAGATCAAGTAATTAAATTTTTCAAGTATTTGTATACAACAATGTACGTATCTGTTGCAGTAAAATGGAACACCGCAATATACTTGAAAATTTACAAAATATGACTCAGGATGATTTATTTGATTACATAGATGGTATTCCATATCAACAAGCCATAAATTCAGATTTTGAGGGTGATTCTGATGCAGAAGATAATCTTCCTATTTCCAACCGAACGTCGGTTGCATCCAACGCGACTATTACTTCATTGTCTAATGATGACAAGGTTGAATTTCTTGATTCAGATGACTCAATGGATGATATAGCTTTCCACCCTCAGGTAAGAACAAATCGCATTTTTGACGACGTCTATACTTTCTCAGGCGAAGACGAAATAGAAGAGAACCAAGAGAACACAGTAAAGTGGATGATACATATAAATGGAGAAAGAACGCTTCTGATGCACAAAAATATTCGAATGTGCCGTTTACCAGACCATTTGGCCCAGCAAAACCGGTCAATATAAATTCACCATTCGACGGGTTTTCTTTGTCCATGAGCAAAGATATTATAGCTAATATAATTACGCAGTCAAATCTCTATGCTCAACAACAAAATCATAATAATCTCGACCTAACTGAGGAAGAACTGAAAGCATTTCTAGGGGTTCTTATAATCATGGGGTTTCATAAACTACCTAGTTTGAGACATTATTGGTCAACTGATATTAACATGCACGTGCCATGAGTTTCGCAAATTTTTACGCAAAAACGATTCTTAAAAATTCTTCGTTTTCTCCATCTAAACAATAACGACAACATGGAAGAAATCAAAATAATCCCAAATTTGGCAAACTGTTCAAAGTAAGGCCTTTGATAACAGAACTGCAGCAACGCTTTCAAGAGAACTTTTATACAAGTAGAAATGTTGCGGTAGATGAAAGTATGGTTGTTTTCAAGGGCGAAGTTCTCTCAAGCAATATATCCCGAAAAAGCCCATAAAAAGAGGCTTTAAAGTTTGGGTCGTTGCATGCTCCGAAACTGGATACGTGCACAAATTTAGCATATATGAAGGCAAATCTCAATCACACATGCTGAATATGGTTTAGGCGCTAAAACGGTATTAGACATTACCGAGTCTCTTAGAGGCGCAAACTACTTCATTTATTTCGATAATTTTTTCTCGAGTTTTCCTCTTCTTAAGAAAATGTTAACCTATGATTTGTTCTGCTGTGGAACTTTTAGAATAAATCGTAAAGGCTTTCCAACACAAATGAGAAAGGACAAAACAATGAAAATGGGAGAACACGATTATTTCATGTCCAATGATATGTCTGTTGTTAAATGGAAATATCGGGGCGCAAATGCGTTTTAGTCGGCAGTACTATGCAAATTACCGAAAGTCGGGAGCGGCGCAAATACTCATTATTTCGATAATTTTTTCTGAGTTTTCCTCTTTTAGAAAATGTTAACTATGATATGTTCTGTGTGAATTTTAGAATAATCGTAAAGGATTCAAACAATGGAAGGACACACAATGAAATGGAGGGACACGAGATTTCATGTCAATGATAGGTTTTAAATGGAACATGGTGCAATGCTTTTAGTCGGAGTACTATGCATAATCCACTTGACATTACTTCAGTTTTGCGAAGAAAAACCGAATGTGTGAACAAGAAAGTGTTAAGTGTCCAAAAGCCATAAGTGATTACAATCGCTATATGGGTGGAGTCGATCTATTCTATCAACTTCATGCTTCTTATCCAATTTCATGGAAATCCCGAAGATGGTATATGAAGATTATTTACTATTTGATTGATGTAGCAGTGGTAAATTCAAACTTATAAAACTACAATAAAAATGAGGTCCATTAAATCGAAACCAATGAGTCACCTGTATTTTAGCTGTGTATTGGCCAACGAGCTCATAGGTGATTTCTATAACAGAAAGAGACCAGGACCTAAGGTAACAATAGGAAGAAATAAACTGAAGAAAATGGGAGCAACCACTAATTATGTTAGCGTAGAAAGCACGGTGAGACTAAGCGATGTTGGCAATCACATGCCAGAAAAAGGAACATCAAGACGTTGTGCACTCTGTTCAACGAGAGCAAAGCCAAAACGTTCAAGTATTAAATGCTCAGATTGCCAGGTTGCATTATGTATTCAATGTTTTCCATTATTTCCTAATAAAAATGTTTAATTAGTGTGTTTTTTTTCTGTGGTCGATTATGGAACCACAACTACATTTACCAAAGTCAACATACCTAATCAGGCTGTGGTCGAAATTTCAACCACCTAAAAAAAACAACAAGGAGTGAAAATAAAATGAAAATACGAATGAAAGTTCAATAACGGATCATTCCTTATCTATAATCTGCAAAGAATTTGTTTATATTACCAAAAAATAATTCTGCCCTATAAAAGGTTAAAGCTATTATTTACCTGCAGTTTCTTCCAAGAGCGCGCTTTCTCTACTAGTCTTCCTTTATGATTAATATGCTTCTCGCCTTTTACTTTGGCTATTTTTATTAAACTGGCCTTGGTGTTTTTTTAACTTTACGCTCAGGCGCCTGCTGTACTCCACTACCACTTGCTACTGCATTCTCCATATTCATAACTACTTATAGTGCAAAACTGAAGAAACTACTTAAAATATAACACGAGATTGGAAAAAAAATTTCGCACAAATTTAAAGAGACGGTAAAGATAAAAACATTAATAAAATT